TACTGGGCCACGATGCCCTGCTTTGTGATAACCATGTCCTTAGTTACATTTGGAGGCCCCTTCATAAATCTGAAGCATCCTGTTCTGAATTCAGGGGCCCCTTTCATGCATGAGATCATTTCTGGAGCAGATGGTGCTGTCTTAGGCCAGGGAGACACCTCGCTCGATAATTAGAAGGCACCTGTTTATGAATTTTCATGTAGGGGGCAGATGCCCACGGTGCTCCTCTCCCTTGAATACCACACTAACCAGGGCCCCCCCCCCCATGCCGTTAAGGAGGCTTCCTTTTCTCCAAGATGCCCCCTGGGAAATTCCCCCCCCCCCCCCACACACAATGAAAACACACGGCACCGCCCCTGCATTCAAACAAACTGAGACCAGATACAGTTTGGTGCCACAGCTGAACACTCAAACAAACTGAGACGAGGTACAGTTTGGCGCCACAGCTGAACATTCAAACAAACTGGGATGAGTTACAGTTAATCAGAGTGCGCTCCTGCCGCTTGGAAACATGACGGATAATAACTCACAACCGGCTTTTCAGATATTCCACACTATACCTGCAAACAAACCTGCACTACAGACGGCTAATTTGAGTGCGCCTCCACCGTTGTGCGACAAGGGGAAGCAGCCCTCGGCATTCCGGCCGTCTTTGGCGGCCAGACCGCGCGACTAGACACACCAAGGCATGGCTCGGCCCGACGGGCCGTCCTCAGGACGGCGCGCGCCGCCGGTACAAGCGCACGTTCAGCACCAGGGACAGCGTTAGCAGCACGGCTAGCACCAGCGCCACCCAGCCCTCGACGCGCTGGTGCCAACGCAGGTGGAAGATGGTGCGCGCGCGCGGTGCCAGTTCGCCGCCGAGAGTGAAGGCCAGCAAGCCGAGCTGCCTCTTGCTGCCCTCGTTCTGGATCTTAGACAAAACACAGGAGCGATACGTTCCGGCCGACAGGCTATCGCTACACTCTTTGCCGTGGTACGTATGCTCCATGTCGGGGTCGAACGCGCGCACGACACGGTAGCGGCTCAGGTACCGAGTGTAGAGGGCCACGTCTTCGCCGCCCCAGCCGTCCGTGTCCATGTAGGCTCCACTGACGGCCGCGAAGTCGGAGCCGTACTGGCACACCATGCCAAAGCCATAGTCGCGCCAGTTGCCGGTCTCGGGGCCGATGGCGGGCCCCGGTGGCCACTGCCGGCCCTGCTGCAGCGCCTCCTGCGCTGCGGGTTGAAGCGGCTGAACAAGATCGGGTAGTAGACGCTGCTGCCGCGCGTGGTGTGCAGCCGACACTTCTCCAGCTCCACAGCCGTGAACGTGATGTCCACGTCGCAGAAGAAGAGCAGCGGGTCGGAGGCGGCGGCGGCCACCGCGGCGGCGGCGCCGCGCACCAGCGCCCGGCCGCGCGAGAACGCGCCCGGCTCGACGACGAGGCGCGCGCGCGCCGTATGCTGCCACCGCCGCAGCTCCTCCTCCACCGGACGCGTGCCGTTCGGCCCGTCGGCGAACGCCACAACCGTCAGTCGCACGTTGTCGCCTGTGAAGCCCGCCAGCCGGCGGCAGGCATGGTCAGGCTGTGCGACACAGTGGGCGGGACGGCGCCGAAACACGCGTCGAATCATCGCCACTGAGTGTAAAGCGTCAGTGGCTGTCGGAGTGCTCGCTGCCTACATGTTATCAATATTCAAGCATAACGAGAAGCAAAACAGCTGATTCACAGGTTATTAGAGCACCGAAGAATGTATGCATTCAACATAAAAAGCGTGGTCCTGAACGCAGGCAGATTCAGTCGACGAGGTCGTTGCGGGGGGGGGGGAGGAGGAGGGAGGGCATATCGGTAATTTATTTTCGAAGATGACGAACCCTCGACCATGATTTTGTTGGATCTGGGTCAGTTTAGTTAGCTATCAGTCGCATCCACGCTTTTGTCTTTTGCACCAGCTCTTCATACAGGGAGTAGCGTTCATGATTGACCATCAGGAATATACCCCAACAAACCCGATAACTTCGTATTAATTTAATTTACTGTGATCACTGCCAGCACAGACCACTCTTCTTACAGGTGAAGTCAGTGTATAAAAATATAACAATACACTGGACCTGTACAGCACACCCTTAATCGACCTACATGTGGGAAAACATTCAATAAAAGTATCTAAATTGATCCCATGAGTCTGACTACACTGGCACTGGCCTACACCCAGCGGCGTGTCGGCGTGCGAACCGGGGGAGGGGCAGAATACCCTCACACTTGTCGAACCCTTAAATATCAGCCTACGGAAACGCATGGGCTGCATCAACTTCAAACAGAGGTTCGGTCCTCCTGCTAAACTGAACGCTCCGACACTTCACCCACATGACCTGCTTCACACGCTTCGCTTCGCTCGCTCCACCTAGCCATGACGCTGTACGGTTCGGAAAACAATTACACGGGGGGACACCAATTGTTCGTAACATGTGGGAGCATGCCGCTTCTGCTTCTACGGCCTTCAACACGCTGCTTTCGCCAACAGCGTTGGAGCATGAGGACGGACAGCGAAGGAGCGCGGTGCGGTTAGGAGCATGTATGCCCAACAGCAATGTGTGGTGCGTGCCCGCTCCAACCGGCTATATTGGTAAGAAACCAATAAATGATACAGATACCTAGATAACAAGTGCTGCCCATCACCCCAATGCCAGTTTAGTAAGTGCTAAAATATCAGCAGAACAATTCATCAACTGCATTCTACTTTCTTCGGAGGTTCAGAATCCCCGCCCAACGGCACGGCGGCCCTCCGCGGAGCGTTCGGAACGAGCCATGACCTCTGACCCGCCGGTGTCTGCGGACTGTGGAATAGCAGCCCGATCGGCTGATACCACCAGTGGAAGTTACGTATCAGCTTTATCTGTAACCACGAAAGAGTGTGGCCCGTGTTTGGACACCCTTTGGCAACGGCGCATTAATGTTAAGATAGTACTCATCGTACTTCAAGGGAAACACTAGTACCGTGATCTTCTCAAGTGTCATTCCGCTTGCCTGCAATACTCCTGTCGATGGGGCCCGAGGGTAACAAACGGTGTTCACGATAAAAATTTCATAACCATGACGGCATGATTCTCCATCATGCCGTCATGGTTATGAAATCATTCTCGATCACGGCATGATTCCTCGATGAAACTGCCGTCTCGAGTCGACATGCGGTCAACCGGAAGACGGAAGAGGAGTGGCACTGGTCTTCTCAAACATACCTGACTATTTGGGGGGGGGGGGGGGGGGGGGCGGCGGACACGGCGTAGAAAGCCCGCGATGCAACCACGACATAAACTCACCAAAGTGGACCATGTCTGGCGGATTTCCACGCACTCGGCAACACGCTATACGGCCCAAACACTGCTGGCGTCCCCCCCATCCCCAGCCGTGCTCCCCTGAGGGACGAGACGCCAGGACGGAACTGTCAACAGCCACTGCCCTCCCCTACCCTCCTAGATTTGTGCGGCGGCCCCTACCATCATCGATTGAGAGCGCCCAGCATATGCAGGAAGTCCGGAGCCGTTTGGCACGCGGCAGACAGCCGGCATCACGATGTGGAGGGGGCTGCTGTCTGCAAACGCCCTCGGGCCGTAGTCACCGACACCCAGCCGGCCGGCCTGGCGGGCGGGGCGGGGCAGCTGACCCGGACGGCTCCACAGCGGCCGGGCCGCGCCGGCAGCCCGCCGCGCAAGCCGCGGACACACGCACGAGCATCACCGAGCCGCGGGCGGCTCTCCGCCGGGCCGGCGGCCGCGGCGCCCGGCATGGCGGGTCGACAGGCACGCGGCGCGCGCTGCAGACCACGAGACCGCGCGCTGCCAGAGGACGCGCCCGCGCGACCAGCCACCACGGCTGACTGGGCGTCGCGACACAGAGCAATGCGCCGCATAAGCCGACAGATCACGAGGCACGGACCATCAAACCACGAGGCCGCACCGTCAGGAATGGGCACGGCTCCACAGACCACGCCGCGGATAAACAAAGGCCGACAGACCATGTGACAACGGCCACAAGCACAGCGTCCCACATCAGCAGTCTACGGAACACCGTCCCCAGATCACCTTACCGAGTGAAAATGGCCGACTACGCGGTATGGGAACCATACCACCACAGCTCACATTCTGCTATCTTACCAGGTTCTCGTCTAATATAGCGCGGAGAAAGCCTGGCTACACTACGAAAGGCCTGCTCTTATGCCACCCACCAAACTTAAGCCATCATCTGACGCAATTGCTCATCTGCAGTCAAGGCATGATTCAATCTTTCTAAATGTCGGTTAACCCTTAGGGTTGGCATGGATCTAGCACACCGAGCATGAGCTGTGGTAAATGGTGGTTGTCAGTGCATAACAGAAACACAAAATAAAGAAATTAGCCTTAAAAAACGTATCAAACATTCCTACTAAACTCCTGAGTCTGGATTGGAAAGTCAGTTGTTAATAACATGTGCACAGCATATAACAACGTAACTACAAGAGCAAATACATGCAACGAATACATATTGCCGAACGTAACATTCCGGTTTGGTTTAACAACGAAAACTCACCCCGACTTTCCTGTACCGCGCGCTGAAAGACGTCTATGCCATTGCGGAAAACTAGATTGTACTCCTCGCCGACACCTGGCAGGTGGCGGCTTAAGCCGTATTGAAAGTGTCGCTCAGAGATGGCACCACCAGTCACGGGCTGGAAAAAAACCGGCAAGGTCAGCATTCATGTCGGGACGCAGAGAGAAACCAAGCTGCGTGCTGGACCTGTCGCAATCTCCATTATATGAAAAACCAAGAGCATTCGGCCAGACCGCGTAGTCAAATAAAACTCCCACGTTTGCTGGAGCAGCAACTTACCCCATGTTATTCTCTGCGTACAATCTCAAGGTATCCCTGCACGTACCTTACTCTGCTCCAGCGCCTCGGTATGACAGCCGCGACGTTGTCCTTCTCCAGCTCCATCAATGGCAGCGCGATAGCGTAAGACGGCCGCACGTCGAGGGTGTAAGCGCTTATGGGTCGTGAAGCTCTCAAACGGCACCAGCGCGCTCCTGTGGACAAATGACCGAACCGTGTGATGGGTGGACTCGCAGGCTGTATGTCAGGAACAGCCGATGTCAACAACTCCCTCGACAAAACTCTCGTCGTGAAATGCATCGTGTCTGGTACCACCAACGCGTGTTCAGTCGTTACAATCGTAGGGCTACAATTATACCCATGTCGCCTCAACGCTGTTGCACTGACTGTTTAAAACTGACTGACTGACTGACTGACTGTTTAAACTGGTCATGTTATCGTCCAGCGGCGTGTGCCATGAACACTATTTTGAAGAAGACTTGATGTAGCCGCTGCCACAATTCGCATGCTGCATAGTCACACATCCACGCTCGCAAAAGTATCGGCGGATTTCTTGACGGAATGCATGTGTATCTGTTGCTCATTTGGGCTCCTATTCCTGGTCAGCTGTGTCTCACAGCGAAACCGCAAAAGTGCAGGGCGGGCCAACAGTGCCGCAAACGTTTTTGAGGTGCGCCCAGCCACCTTCATGCTTGGAGCGCCAGGTAATGAATGTGTATTCCCACAAAACAAAACAACATTGCATGACATACGGACACAAAATAGCGGATCGAAGTAAACTGGATATGAAAGGCGTTATATAGTATAGCAAACCACACATGGTTACCAAAGATCAGTTACGTAAGTTACTTTTCATGCACCCGTCCATTAAAGATGTTTTAAGCTCGGAAACATCCACATATATCTACCAGTGCGTCGTGTTGTGCGCTGAAGAGGAGAATGCTGACAACAATCGGCGAGGAAGTCGCCGGAATGGGCATCTTCCGGCGGGAATAGGATAAAATCACGGCCATATTACGTACAAACGCAGTTGGTGCTATCGCTGCCCCACCTGTCATAACGCGTTCTCCAGCCGTGATTGTGCGGTGAGGAATGAGCGAGGTGATGTGGACGTGAACGTTACAGAGTTCTGTGATGAGCCACACCAGTTACGACTGGCACACATGCTCATGTCAAGGCTGGGCTCGCCGATGCGGGGCCCGCGTGCTTATTCCGAAGTTGTATTGCTTGAAAATTAGTCGGCTATCAGTCTGACCCAGGTTGATCAAGCCCCACAATTTCGATGAGACGAAATGAAAGGAACGATTTTCGTGTTAGATGTCCGTAACCACGCCTTTCGAAAAACGCCAGCATTTTGGCGCATACTGACCATACTGAACTGAACACCAGCCTGTATGGTCTGCATAACCGCGGTATTGGCTCTTGCCACCTCATGCTGGATTTAACACGGCTCCGAACAAAGGCGACAGCAGCCTCGGCCCGGCCATATATTGGGGCAGCTGCTGGGTGCTGTTACGATCGCACTGCCTCGCATGCGGCACGTTCGCCTAGACCGTACAGGTCGTTCCACGCCTTCATTTGCTCTGAAGATCGAGATATGACATCAAATCTTAACAAGGCTAAACAAACGCTGATTCATGGCCTGCGTTACAACGTGCGCGGATTACACAGTGCACAAGTCGACTCATGCCTAACCAACACGACTGTCTGTGACTTCCTCCGCCAAGCAGCTTCGGTTCCATGTCGCTGCGACGCCCGGATGGCGAGACCTGCGCCCGTTTGGCCCTGTGGTGTGCTGTGAACGCTTTTGACAACTAGCTTTGCGTTCCCAACGTTAATTCCCTTGGGAGGTCCTGTTCTGCCCCACATCACAACGCTATCGGAAAACCGAGCCAGACTAAACGGCTTGCCTGCAAGTCTCATCATTTATGCGGCGTGACTTGACCAGCCTCTTGATGCAGAATACTGCTTGCAGCTACTACCAGAGATCACCAAGATTTTAGATCTAGACAAAGTAGAGGCCAGATCGGGCTACTCAAGGTGGAAATTAGCTCATTGTTTTAGAAAGCCTTGGTCAGAGAGCCCCATTGTTTGCGATCAATGACTTACCCATTCATATGCATTTGTGAATGCATATGCGAAGCACCAAGAAACAAAAAAAAAACTCTGTGGCTACGGCGTTTTGCAGCACTTCTCTGACGACCTCACCGCCCATATAACCTGCGCTAAGCCTGTCGAAAAGAATTATAAAGTCACGCGTGAATGCAACCCGCTGGATATCTATCATATATGACTTTTAAATGTCAACGGGGTAAGAATATAAAGACTGGCGCTTCCTCACAGCACATCTTTCTCCAAATACTTCTGGAGGTATGACGCCAATGTCCAATACCATCATCAAAGCGTGTGACTTTTGCAAAGAGGTCATTCAGGGTTATGGCCAAATAAGGTGAAATCTGAAATCTGGCTTCCAACCAGTCTATCATATCATTTTATCAAATCATCTCGCAACTCAAAATAATTGGCTTGTGTTTATTACGATGAATGTGGTCATTACAATCACAAGGTCAACTCTTGAGAATCCTCAACAACGAGGTCAGTAGAACACTTGCATTACACCAGTACCGTCGTCATAAATGAAGATTGCAGGTGCTAGGTCATCCAACTTCAAGGTCATTGTAGGTACGCCGTGCCTCAAGATGAGATTGCAGTACCCGTGGACGCCCAAGGGCAAATCCAAAGAGGGGGGTATGGGGCAAAGCCCCCCCCCCCTTGGGCTCAGAACAGATTCATAGGCTTCAAGGGGCTCAAACTCGTCCGAACAGACGTTGTTTTTTTCATGCAAAACCCACAAGACCGGATGTCTTTGAGCTTCCAGGCGACCAAGAACAGTCGCAAGCGAAAGTGAAGGGTTTACGAGCAGACATAAACAATTCTTCAGTGACTGAGAGGGTGGTGATTGGGAGATCTTAAGATTCATTACGATGTCCAGACGCCCTACGCTGTTCCCGGGAGCCCTACATGTCCACTTGCTGGGTCAATCCAATCGCTAAGGATCGTTCCACATTGCCCTTGATTTCTTTGCATTTGCTCCTAGGGCACTGCGCTGTTGTCGGAGCGCTTTCTGCTGGCATGCAGGGCACCTTTATCGATCAGCGGCCTTCCACGGATTCTTTCCATTCACCCAAAAGGCTCTATACGCTATAACGCATGCGTGTAGAAAGGCTCTAAACACCCCACATGACAATCTGCCGGGTATTCTCGGCTGCCCATGGGCCGTGGTCGGCGTCGGCACCCTCACGACAAGCTCATGGGCCTTCCAACTTCATCTGTGGTCCTTCCAATTCTATGTCACTTGCCTCAGGCCGTACTTGGTGATGGGCTGATGTGTAGGAGTCCAATGTTTTTTTTTTGTTCGAGCGTTTTATGCTTGTTGAATTTGCTGTTATATTGTTATTGAAATCCTTTGCTTTGTTTTGGTTTTAAAAGCGCTGTGGGAGGGGAATTGAAAAGTGCGGGCATCAAATTATTGGTGTTGACAATTTGTCATGCTCATAATACTGCCATGAAATTACTATGCTTTAACACTCGCCCGGTTAGCCGGATAGACACCATTCGCTCGGGTGGGGGGTCAATTTGACCCGCCCCCCCTCTGAGATCTCGTGAACTAAGAAAGCTAGCGACACCAAATTTACAGGGTGTCTTGACCCACACGCGAACTCACTTAGGTTACGTTTCAGCTTCCTAGGTCATGACCTTCAGGTCGAATAAGGTCAAACAAGGTCAAATTCCAGGTTGGTCTCTAAGGCACCCCCAGAACCTAGGCAACTGTCTCTAAGCAAAAGGTCACAAGCCCACTTGAGGTAATTGACCTTGTTTGACCTTTTGAAGGTCACGGTGACCAAAGTGATACAAGACAGCTCTGCGTTTTCATTTGAATAAGCTACAAAGATTACCGCTAGGCAGTATGTTCCTACAACCAAACGTTCGACCCGGGACGTCTTAGGCCAATGGCCTGTTCTGACCTCTGAGAAGTCAATTGAAAATGTATAATGCAGTTCCTGCTGTCAATGAATTCGAAATGAGCACCAGACACTATTCCATACAGCAAGCCCTAGAGTAACAAATCAGGTTGGTTTTGAAATTGGTCTGACATCATACCTGACCTTATTTGCTCATTATTTGCTCGTTATTTGCTCATTCAATATTTGTGGTGCCTAGAAAGCATCTCAGATATGTATGTCTTCGTCAAACACTCCGTTGTTGTATCAGATTGAACGATTCCCTAGAAATTGCCTTCGCTGAAACCATGGGCTGACTTTGACCTGTCATAGGTCAGCGACCTTACAAGGTACATCTAAAATTTGTATGTCAAACGATCCGCTATGCAATTTTCTACAGCTATGCAAAATGTCGCACGACTACGCCGCGCCGTTCAAAAACCATTCTGGAAAGGCCCTCGGGGGGGGGGGCGTCAACTTGCCCCCCCCCCCACCCCCACCCGAGCGCGTGTTAATGTACTTAATGAGTGCGTGTTAATGTTTCACTTTAATGGCCTAAAATGTTAAAAAACACGAAATAGTTTTGTCAGGGTTCTGATATTACGTCCGTGCCAACTTGAAATAGATGTCTTTGTTTGCTGAAGCATCCGTCACGAGCTCATAAGTTCCCGTCCTTTGTGAATTGATTTTTCACTCCCACGCGGTCTTCTTGCGATGGAATTTTCACTCCCAACCTAGTTCAAAAGCGATTCTAGCTCCTCTGGTAATCCATGACTACAGGATAACGAATTCTCTGAGTGCCTCAACAGCTGAGAGCAGCTGTTGGCTACACGCCGATTAATTTGTACGCGCAATTTCCGAGCCCATTTTTAGCCATCGTCGACGTAGCATACGTCTTTTTCCGTTGCCTATTGAATTGTTGAACACGAGTTAAAATTGAGCATCACACTGTTAGGATAATCTGAATGCTAGATATTTTGTACCCGTTCATAAAAGCCAGCGCAAAAAAATGTGCATTAGTCATCGGCCATCAGTTCACCACATCGACTAGCTGACTATTCGTAAATAAGCTAGGAATCAAGTTTATGCCTAATTTTAACGGCATTTAGCATCTAACTTTACTTCATGTTGCCATTTTCCGAAAAACCAAGTTAAGCATTGACAGGATCCACTATGACCTGGAGGAAATGGAAAAGCTCACTGTATGTTCATATGTAGTATGCGTAGTTTTCTAGGGCTGCGTACAATAAGATGGGTTCTTGCATGCCAAATAGCAGATATAGGAATCTTAAAATTGAACGGTCGGAATACGAGCATCCTTTATGAGGTCTCAACCCTAGAGGAGCCCCATCGTGTTTCGTGCCCCTCCACTTCACGAGACCCTGGATCCGCCCCAGTGGACGCCTCTACACCCAGCGTGACCTAGGGCCTCCCATTACGACAGCAGACCCTACACCACGCCAGCAACATGCCAGTGGTGGACGCTTTAACTTCAGTCAACCTTGATCTGTGGACATATGAAAAGCACGAAGATGTGTTCAAAACGTGGTTTTACCCGCTATGATCCGATCTAACTACTGAAATGTTGAAACCGCCCGAAAACCCGACAACGTTAATATGCAAATTCCATGCAAAGCCACCACCCAGTTGTCAACACTTGCATCGGCACGTGCGGTGTGAAGTCAACAGGGCCATCCTCTCAACCACCGCCCAACCCTCACCCCCCACACTCTACGGCAGGTGGTAAGACCGCAGAAGCTGTCGAAGGTGGCGAGAGGGCAGATTCTAACTTACATATCCTGAAACTTGACGCGATTGAAATCGTTGGCTCCATCCGGCTCTCCATTGAAAGTCATTTGCGGGTAACCTGCGGATTAATGGACAGTTATTGTACAGGTCATCATGCAAGAACACAACATCTACAGTCATTACAAGCAGTACACATTTACATACGTCTGTGTGGTCAGTTGAATACCACGACGCTCGTATGTGCGTGTGTGGTGTGTGGGGGGGGGGGGGGTACAACTTGGCCCCAATATATCAAAAATCGAGGAAGTTTGAACCACCAAATTCACAGGATATATAGACCTGTATGTAAACTCACACGCGTCCAATTTTGAGGCACCTAGGTCATGCCCTTCGGACCAAATAGGATAAAGCAAAGTCAACCTTCCAATTGATGGCAAAGCTTACCCAGCCCTCGTTACGCAATCCTCTTTAACCTAGATAATCTTTAAGAGAAATGTCACTGATGTTCGTTTCAGATTAGTGACCTTATTTGCACTTCAGAAGGTCACAGTGGCCAAAAATCGTGAGTTTTGATTTTTGGAATTCCAACAAGTGTCAAGGACTACGCTAGACGATATGCTCCTAAAAACAAAAGGTTGATCGAGGTTATTCCAGGTCACTGAACTCTACGCACCTCAATGATGTTCAAATAAAACATATTTTGACCTCCCTGTGATCAAGAATTCAAAATGAGCGTCAAGACTACATCAAAAAGCGACATCTCTAGTAAAATGTAGTTCGGCTTTGACCTCGGTCCGACCTTTATACCTGACACAAGATCAACTGAAAAGAAAATATGGTATCCAAATGCTGGTTGTCTAGGAACCGTCTCAAAGATGTTAAGCCCCGACTAACACTACGTTCCCGCATCAGACTGAACAATCACCTGGGAATTCCTTCCACTGACAGCCATGGCCTGAATTTGACCTACCATAGGTCAGCGACCTTACAAGGTTACACGAACATTTTTAACACGAAAAGATCGGATATTTCATTAATTACGACCCTGCAAAGTTTGGCGTGTAAAAATCTTGGGTCTTGACGGTAGATAAGCCTCACTACGCCAGCTCTTGACGAAAGTCATCATCAGTGATGAGGAATGGAGGCCCGGCTTGGTAAAACACAGAACCAGGGACGCCAGAGGATATCCGGTACGGTTAGACCTTACTGGGCACGGATTTGGAATCACTTCATCCGTGTGCGAGGACATGCAAACATTAAATCCCTATCCGCACAAGACACACTGTACGGTGCAAGTTCAATATTTGAACAATCCAAAGCACGCGTAAAACACTACCATCACTGAGAAAGGAGGCGACGGATAACTAGCAACAGAACGAATACCCAGTCCAAGGCAGCAAGCTTCTTATAATGTAAACAGAAAGCTCATGACATCACCTATCGTTCTCACAGCCTGCGTTGCCATCTGAAATCAATCACGACAAAATTGTGAGGAAGGGTAGGATCAACACATCAGAACCGTTTTCGTTGACAGCAAGGCTTCAGGTTTTCTTCCCGTGTCAAACGCAGCTTCCATGACATCAGTGAAAGACCCAGCGAAAAGTCAGGTAGCGGTCACAATGGGCCAAAGGCCGTTAATACTCCGGCAAATCACGGTAGCCCCTCCCGTCGCCATGTTACACGGTGTCGCCTCCTTCGCACCCTGGCAGGGAGGTCGGGCACGGCATGAAATCGAGCTCAGCACATTTAATGTCGTCGCAGGCACGCAAGACTATTTGCATGGCGTATGACACATCGCACACTTCAATATCCTTATTTTAGCACGCAGAGTTTGATTATTTCATGCCGACAGTTCTTTACAAGCACACTGATATCTGTACCAGTCCAATGGTAGAGCATGTGTTCCTGGCTCCCCACTCCACCCTAACCCGATTCCGTAACGACCCACAGCAGTTGCACCACAAAATGCTGCATTTGACTGGACTCTGCTGTGTTCAGCTGTGTGCGGTTATCGGCTGCCACAGAGCACATTTTTTGGGGCTTGTTGGCAGCGTACGCACCAGGTGATGAAAGCTCCACACACAGAGCCCGATAACCATTGGACAGTGTTCAACACGCACGTTACAGATAAGCGGCATACGGTTCGGGTGGTAGAGGCAAGAGTCAATGCGATGGTTCGTGCTGTGCTTGCGCTGAACCCATGACAAGTCAATGCTGCAGCGGTCCGCACAGAGGGCTGGTACCAGCACCGACGCCAAACTCCAATATATTCAAAGCGCTACCTGGCGTCGGCACAATAACCGACATTGCCAGTGCAAGCACCCCTCTGGCACTACCGTCACTGAAACGCTACCGGGTGTTGATCCCCCCTCCCCCCTGCCACGCACTACTAGTACCGCGAACCCAATACAGTCCACTATTGTAGGTATAATTCGCCTCCGTGGTCTGGAAGAAGATTGCGGATCCATTAGCAGCGGTACTGGGCGCGAGTCTGAGAGCAGACGCATCGCACGGCTGGTCGGGAAAGGTCGGCTAGCAGCTGGCCAGCGAGGGTAGGCCCAGGCTCGGGGTGGCCGCGCCGCCGTACTGTGTAACGCGCTGACTCTTGCACGGACCGATTCGGCGAAGACTATCTTATCAGCTGCGCCGGGCGTTACAACTGAGGTGGAGGAATGCTACAACCTTTGATTGGCAGTTTGAATCCAGGCCATCAGTGCAAACCGTTCGCAATGAACTTTTCAATACATGACGGTACAGGCGCCGTTACCTCTTGCGTAACCCTACCAGCCTCAAATATTAATAACCGTTTTGCTACAATTTTGTGGAAAAAGAAGCCTGCACCCGCTGAGAGATAGGGCGCTACATGTACTCCGCCCTTTATAAACTGCACCTCAGGTGCACGAGACTACGAGCATGCACAAGTGTGGCCTGGCAGGCGCAGTCCATCCGTAGGCTTGGCATGGTTTGCATGCTGGCCCAGCATTAGTACCGGGCGCATACATTAGGGCATCGAGTGTACACAGGGCCATCACTAGCCTACACGGAGAAGGGTGAGCCTATCTCTCATCTCATTCGCTTATAACGGCACTTTTAACAGGTGTCCAGCTGTCAGTCCGAACACCGTGGCTGGGACGTCCGCCACATGCTTGGTGCCGGCTCCTGGCACTCTGGTTCGGCTAAATTCATCACATCACCGAGGAGACTGGCTCAGACTCGGGCTCAGCATTTCAACAGGCTGTGATCTTAAACCAGAGCGCTGAATCGGGCCTTGCTAATGCCAGCCTTAGGCTCTTGATTGAAAAACTTGAGGCTCAATGATGCCACAGCATCACGGGTCTCGGAATCGGACATGAGGTATGTATGTGATGAGATGCTCCTGGAAACAAACCATATTCTTGCACTCGCCGATATCAATCTAGGGTATGGGGAAGACAATTGCTATGGTCGACAGCCTTCAGGCATTAACTATCGTAGGACCATCCGGACCTCGTTTGCCAACTTGAACATCGATGGAGACGCACGAGAGCTGAACTGTCGCAGTTTACCAACCATTGACTACAGCACGCAGTTGCAGCGTCAACTTCAGGTGGCATCGCAGTGGGAGCGGAGTCGGCATTTAAAAGAGGAACAGTTGGGTCGCTGTAAAGGTCAAGGGGCGCCTCAGAAAGTGGAGGAGGGAGCAAACTGACTTTGGAGTACATTATTTTCCTCGCGTCGCCATTTTCACACGTTATAGGGATAATGCTTAGCATTCTCGGTCAGTGTGGGGGGGATATGGCACTCACCAAATCCCCCCCCGTTCATACATAGTATGACGCTGTAAGGGCCGCGCTTTTTCAATGTTACAGGCCATGATGGCGACTATCGGTTGTTACAATCATGAGATCATTGCATTGTTAGAAAAAGACATGCGATGCATTCAAGTGACTCCACTGCATACCAGCTAGACATTATTCTCAAAATGCCTAAACAAGACAGGACTCCAAACAGTGGCCCATCTCCTTGCGTCTTTTCGGACGGCCTAAGTGGAACTTAGTTTTTTCGCCCGACAAAGATTGCAGATAAAACCATTGTGAGCTGCCAGGAGCTGACTTCACGAAAATGACCCAAGGACAATACCAGTGGATTTCAAGTTATATGCATTGAGATGATAGGCCCAACAAAACTAAAATCATTGGGGGCTCGCCGCACCCCCCCCCCCCCCCTGCCCCTGCCAACCCACAGCATGCAGCATGACATCCTGGGGCCTATTGTTGGTGTAAAACCTATTGGCAGTGTGATTTTGTGTGCCTGTGGAGATAGTCCTTTAAGTTTGACATTAAGTTTTCCATTAAACTTTAAAGAGTTAAGTACAGCCAAACCTACTTTGATCTTTTCACAATTCCTAACAAAAGCAGAGAGAAGACGAACAAAAAAATTAGCGTTTTCTCCACGGATTGCAAAGCGACCATTTGGATCAAGCTGAAGATGTGATAGAGGCTACCGCTGGGGCGGACTTAAGTTCCGCTCTCTGCTGGGGCCGGTGCAGCCTTGAGGCCAGTCAGTCACCATGTCATGCGGTCATAAAACTGGAACGGAGCCTTATTGCGACATCAGGCCGTGCGCTATCGTCGCCTCCACCTGAGTCAAGTTGAAAAAGTCGGCCTTTTTGCACATCAACGTCGACAGAGCTAGAACATGACTTGGCACGCTTTCAGCGAAACGAGATTTCATACCTGGCGTGCCTAGCGATCGATTGTAAAAGTCTAGAATCCAATGTTTGTCTGCATGTATGTATGACGAAGCCTTCGAGTGAGGTATGCCAACGCGCGCTGACGGATCGCACCAGGAATGACACGATGTTGTGCGCCAGCTCTGCGGACGGACTGCCGTGCCGGTCTCGAATTGATCGGTGGCGCGTGGCGCGCTGCGTACCGTTCGCCGGGCCTCCACAGAGTTCACGTGATCAGGATTACAGAATGTCCATAGCCACGTGTAGCCACGTGCAAAGAATTGGGGCCTCTCAGTGCCGTAAACAGTGAGCTAGCCCACTGAAGTTCAGTAAGTGGAGAGACAGTTACCGGAGCTATCTGACAGTACTCAAGTGAAGATGTTTCATGTGAGATGCTGCTGCATAGTGCACAGATTTAACCTTTGCACCCCTTTTCTTTGCAGCCCAATGACAGATGCTCAGGGGGCACAGTCTGGTGTGGGAACAAGCTTACAGATGGATGGGTGGCTTGGTGATCAGTTTCTAAAGAATCCAGCCAGTAAGGGCTGCACTGCACATGTGGGAGGTGACCAAAACATGCTACCTCTTTGTCATTTTCACCAACTCATGACTGCCAGAATGGTGAAATTTGGCAGGTAGAACTGTGGCATGCATATCAGTCAATGCTTGACTGTTATGGGACTAGATAGCTTCCAATTATGGCCTAAGGGGTTCTCAAGATCAAGGTGCACCCCTCTGCCGTGAGAAGGGGCTCTCAATTAGTAGCCTTAGAATATACACCATCCAAACTTTATGCATATCTTCTCAGACACAACAGCTGCCTGCCTGCACCCAGACTGAGGTGATCAAAGTCTACATGTGACCTGTGTGCAAGTTGAACAAAATTGACCTGGGGTTCTTCAAGTTACTTAAGTCATGACCTTCAGACTAGAAAATTGGTAGATAGAGAAATCCTCTCACACACACAGCATCCAATCATGCCACATTCAACTTCCAGGTGTTATAGGGGGACACATGCATCACATGTGTATAGTGTGGTGTGTGTAGTATGTGTCCATCGCAACAAACACTAAAAATGCCTGGATATAGCACCACAATCACTTTGAGTGATGCAAAAAATATCTTAAGATCATTTTTTCTGCATGCTGAGTCAGAAGTTCACATTTTGGAGCATCATTGCAATTCAGTATGTCAAGAAGTAATAGTTAAATGATGTTGTTAGGCAAGTACAGGCAATATAAAAAACAACCATTTTCAACTTGTGCTTGTAGCCTAAATTTTCTGATATAAACACACACACCTTGACATCTTGACTTTTGTCAATATGAACAATGCTTGCCTAATGGCATCATAATGAGAACTTGCAGCTTATCAATGAGTCTTTCTTGTTAGAAAAATTGCAGCAAGCTCTGTAGTCCACACACAAAATTAATATATATGACATACACCAGTCACTTCCTGAGCATCATTACTTCCTTGACACAACATATTCCAAGGGATTTCACAACCAAGGTGCATTTAAACTTTGAAGAATAACAGCAAAAACCCAAATGCACAACCACAGCAGGCTCCAGCCTGCTACCCTCCACACAACATCAGAAACATGGAGGCGCCGATATGTATTTGGCCATACCGAA